CAATGAGTAACTTTTACAAACGATATCGTTTTTCTTCCATATTAAAAGATTTCTTCTTTTTTAACGATTAACAAACGTCCAATAAGAATCCAACTAATGTAGACGAACGAGAAACGAGAAAGAAATTAACATAATTAATTTAAATTAAAAAGTTTATTTATCTTTCGATAATATTCACTCGAATGCTGCGTTCTCTCTTTCTCTTTCTCGTTATTTTTTTCCCCTTTCTCCTACATTTTCTACCTTCCTGTGTTTTTATTCTTCGAATAAAAGAGATATGCTTCTTTTTTTTTCCTTTTGCTTTCATTTTCTGGATCAATACTTTCCGTTATTATGTGCTCGTATATTTAATTCAATGAACGTTTTATTTTGATCGATATAATAACTATTAAAAAGCGTTCCTCGTCGTGCATTAAATACGATCGAACAAGTTATTTTACGAATTCATTGATATTTACGAGAAAACATGTTCGCATAAACATTCTTTGTATATTTCGTTTTAATTAAATTTATATGAAATGTTTGACATTATTATTATTATTATTATTATTATTATTTATTCATTTACGACGATATCATACGTTGCATAAAATACTCGAGTGGATACTTTCATAAACATAGGACGCGTAAATACAGATACACAAATACATATACGACAAATGATAGTATGGAACGATAGTACTCTCAGATTTATAGAATTCTACGCAAGATAGGGAAGGTAGAATTCCATGACTTCGTAACAAGATCAATACGCGTTTCACCACGTAAGTACATCTTCGTATTTGATAAGAAACAGAGAATAGCGTATAGTTTCAGTGGTTAAAGCGTAATTAGCGAATGCATTGGTGAAATGAGAAATGCAACAAAAACGTATTTAAATTGTATCTATTATTTATGCGATCAACGAATATGCTGTTGAGAGAGATAGAATCTAATCGATACGAAAACACGTTTAATCATTCTAAAAGTATCACTTATCCAAAACGAAATTGGAAAAACATTTGGAGTATTTCTTTTCTTTTTTTTTTTTTTCATTTTTACGAAGAAAAATGTTCGCATAGAAAAAGTGACATTTTGAAATCGTAAAAATGGAAAAAGGGGTCGTGATGTTGCGAGACTAATAAAAGGTGACAAATAAAAATGAATGCATAGTAAAGAAAGGTGGACTGTAACAAATCGTCGTGGAGGAATCTTGGACGTAGAAAATATCTTTGTCTTTTCCTTCGGTTCTTTCTATACCTGAGAGACATACATATTTATATACATACGATCTGTATATACGTATGTGTAAAAATACAGGATGTCCCAAAGGTCACTTTATCGAACATTTACATTCTACAATTTCTTCTTTTCACAGGTATCACGAGTGTCGATGCTTTTTTTTTTTTAAACTCTTAATTAACCATCAGTACTCTACTAATTAATGGGTCGTCATACCATTAGTTCACATCGTATACATAAAGATTCTTTCGTATTTTTAGAATTCCAAGTGTGTACTTGCAAGACAAAGATACTTTACTACGTGTCAAGAACTCATTTTCTTTTGTGTTTTCTAATTCTGCAGATGTCGTTAGATACCGAACAGATGCCGGATATAATTGGTGATAATCGTAAAAAGGATTTAACAACATTGTAATCACAAATTTATATCACTAAATAATAACACAAATTAATGCAATTCTCTTAATAGATTAATACTCATTTTTAAATGAAATTTTTTGCATTTGACATACCCTGTAATATACGTGTCTCTACCTACCACCTATCCGATGTACGAGTGCATTTCTATATTTATTTTTTTATTATAGTAAGTTCGTTGAACGCGTAGGTTTTACTTTGAATGGATTGACGATTGATATTGCAATGAGAAAGAAACGTTATGAAAGTAGAATTCTTTCTTTCTCTCTCTCCTCTCTCTCTCTCTCTCTCTGTTTCTCTTCTTTCTGCAATGTCGGTGGTTGAGAAGCACGTGTATGGACTCGTTCCAGATTCCGAACGAAGAACGTATCACCCGTATACTCGATCAAAGCATTCTGTGGACGGTACGCTTAGCGTATTTCCGTATAAGACTTGGAAATGTGAGTATATGTACGAACACGTTCAACATAGTACGTATGAACGATCATAAAACCGACCTGGTAGTCTTCCAACGAAATTTTCCGAGTTATCTTCGAGGAGTAGTTTCCTGATGGTTTATTGGTTCTCAACTCTCTTTCTCTCTTTCTCTCTCTCTCTCTTAACCTTTTATCTCATCTTTCCCTTTCCCAAAGGGAAAAACTTAACTTTCAAATAAATACGATTGGTCTATAAGTTTTGTAATTTCCTGTCGTTATATTGTCTGTTTCTTCAAATTGAACGGTCCCAAGTTAAATCAAATTACGCGAATATAACCGTTGACAGATTGAGAAAAGTTTTAGGCCCGATATAACAAACAATTCTATTTTTCCTTTTTTCTATTTTTTCTTTCTTTCGCGATCAAACTAATTTTTAGTTTTTTTTTTTCTTTTTCCGACATATTATCAAAACTCTTCAATTCGCCAGGGGTTTATTTAATTAAACGTTCACAATATTTGTTTCGGTAAAACTTAATTGGAATAAATAATTTTCGAATTATATTTAATCTCTGCTTGCTTGCTTGCCATGAAAATTGTACGTATTCAAATTCACCGCGATTAACCTTTTAATCGAATTAATTTAATCCTCTATACGTTCTCTTTTTTTTTTCTCTCTCTCTTTCTCTCTCTTTCTATTTCCAATAAATAAATAAATAATGTTGCTATTTATTTGTCCATTACCATGCACGTATTGTACATGCATTGTCTATAAAAGAAATGAAAAAAAAAAAAAATATATATATATAAAAGTGGAACTAAAATATACGTCAACATATAGAAGTAACTAAATAATTGTACACGTTAAATGGGTCAATCGGGTTTCTCGGTTTGTATCGACGAGATATTCTCCCTTGTTTGTAATTAATTGCATCGGGGAACGAACGAATTGCTTGAATGTGAAACGATTTCTAATCACATACGTATATATACATAACGTTTATAGATTTAAATAAATATGGTTATCGTACATAAATGTTAATGCTATCGATTCGTGGATTATACGAAAACACAACTATGATAATAATAATCATAATAATAATAATGGAAATATATATAAAAAAAAAAAAAAAAATCACAGTAGGAAAACGATTTTAACCGAGTAACTGTTCTAATAGAGAAGAAGTGGGTATTAATTCTTTTTTTCCGCGATATGGGAAAGCACGTGCTCCAGTTGCCACGCAGATAAATCCCGTTTTTACGAGCAGGATGTTGCAAAACTTACAGAGATATACCACAGGGTTGCAACGCGAGTGGGATGGTTAGAAACGTAAAAATAAAAAAATATGAAAAAAACAAAAAAATATGAAAAAAAAACAAAAAAAAAAAAGAAAGAAAGAAAGTATTTTTACGCACTTTGTCTCGTTTTATCTGTACCTCCTTTCTTCACCGAGAGGGAAGATGTTTTACGATTACAAAAAACAAAAAGGAAAATAATACGTGACATGTAGAAAACGAATCAAAGGGCACAGAAAATAGTTTATTTTTTTTTTCCCCCGTGCAGATAATAGCTCGTTCGTGACAGACGTTAAACGCGACGCTTCCACTGGATCGCACTTTAACTACTACAGGAGACTAGATTACGCATAAGAGATCAGTTCACGTTGCTAAACGGATTACCAACGATCTCTATCCGTAAATCCTGTGAAAATGTTAGCATGAATTCGCCGATAGTTCCTTACCAAGAAGTTGTTTTTAGTTTAGATAAATCGAGGGTTAGGAAGTCGCGTATTTCATCAGTGGTAAAAAGTTAGCTGTGATGAAAAATAGCTTTTCCCTAGGAGAAATTAAAGTTATTACTAATATATATATATATATATATATTTCACAAAACGTTGAAAACAATTCTCTTGTTCCGATGAACGGGGATTGATCGTTTCTCCGCTATCGCGGTTTTTTCTAACTCGTACTCCCTCCTCCTCCTCCTTCTCTTTTTTTTTTAACTCATCCGCTTTTTATCATCTCTGTATCAACGATGGATTGCAACAATACTTTTATTGTCCTAAAAAAAAGGAAAAAAGCAACCATTGACGCGGTTAACTAAAGGTTAAATATTATGATTTTCACGTCGAACGAATTATTATCCCTTCCTGTACTATGGAATTCCTCGATTGGTTCATTATTTTTGTAAATATCAAATAAGTAAGGTTTTTACTTATCTATTATTTAAATGAACTATCATCATTTCTATTGCATTGAATTTCACGTTTCAATTGTTCGAAAGAAAAAATATTTTTATTGCTTATCAATTCGAGGATTTCAACGTAGACAAGTAGAAATGTACGAATGGGAAAACGAACAGAATTTCAATAAATGCGACGATTAAATGTTAATGGCGTATGATATATGTCACAGACCGTATAAGCAGTACGAAATGATTTGACTGTCGTTTTGAACGAACATACGAACGAGCAAACTGTATAAACGCAAAAGTGGCCGAATATCTCTCTCTCTCTTTCTCTCTCTCCCTCTCTCTCTCTGAAAGTGAGCGTTTGCGTCAGCGTAAAGCAGGCTTATGAGTATGTGTTCTAACAGAAAGCCATTACGGTGTTTAAGTGCAAAAAGATTACTCTCCAAATGTCGACAGTTTCGAGGTCGAACAGTCAGTTTATCGATTCGTCCGAACGCGAATATTTCGTCCGGTGTAAAACCGCAGGAACACTAAATTTTCACGTTGCTTACCGTTTAAACTCAAAACTTTTCGCGGTACTTGTAGTTTTGTTGAACTTTGATGCGTTTGAACTAACCTCTAGTTGGAGACAATTTTTCTCTAACTTTTATCCATTTTATATCGTATGCACGTTCGTTGGATTACCACGTTTCAAAAAGTGCGAGACGTGTAAGACGTCGCTGAGTCAGCAAACGGAGATATTATATTTTTACAGATCGCCCTTGGGGAAACTTGCATCAACGGCCACTGAGGATATCAACTGTCAAAACTTACACGCTACTTTAGATATATACAATATTTCAAATGATCCTCGATATCGTAGAGATCTGTTGTATTTGATGGATTTAAACGTTTAATCAAAAGTCTCGCGCGAGAAGATATGGGCAAAGAAATAAAATCCGAAACAAATAAGGATCAAAGTTTGAAATTAAACGAATTTTGAATTTTCGAAGAATTTACATCGATTTATCGAACAATCAAAATCCTTTCGATATTATTTATCTGATATAATATATAATATAATATAATATGTCATTAATACATCATATATGTAAATAAATATATTCATAAACGTTATAAAAAGTGATGATCTATCTTATCCAGACGAATGACAACGAGCTTATTAAATTACGTCATTGTCACGGTGAAAATTTAGAGAGGAAAATTCTTATAACGAGTCTTGAGGAATAAAAATACGTGAGAAAAACGGTGAATAAAAGCTCGATACGATTTGAAATTAAATCAAGCAGAAAGAGAATAGTGGTTCGTAAACAATTACGAGATTCTAAAGTTATTATCCAATTTGTCACTCGACGGGGAGGTGGTGGAAAAAGTAAGACGTCGACGACGAATATCACATTAAACGAAAGTCATAGAGGAAAAAGAGAGAGGAAGAAAAATTAAAGGAAAACGAATAGTTTTGGGAAAATAGAAGGGAGGAGATCGTTGGGACATTTGGATCGAAAAATCAAGAAAACTGTTTCGATTAAGAAAAGAGGATCTTCGGCGTCGTACCGAAAATATTATTAAAATTAAATCAGACGGCGGGGTATCGACGTTTACATGCCTCGCACCGATCTTCTGACGTTTAGGTGGCACGAAAGATCGTCGCCGATTCGATTCGTCATCGACGTCTAAGTTTTCCAAAGAGGGAAGCGAAGAAGACGTCACGGTGTGTGGGTTAGGGCGAATCCTCGGCTACATCGGCGGAAGACCGTCGGTGGGGGCCGCCGCTATGTCACAGTCTGGATCAGGAGGTCTAACTGGATCACAGGGTCAAAGTAATCAAAACGGACAGACGATGGAAAATCAACAGACAGATTGTAATCAAAATGGCCGGGCCGATCCACCGACGGATACAACGAAGCAAGATCTTTCCAATGGTTTTGAGAATCGAACGTTGGAATACGAACGATTTTCGCAAGAGAGAAATCAACAGCAGGGACAAACGACTGTGCAGAATCAAGATCAACAACAGCAACAATCGCAACAGCAAGTTCAACAGCAGCAGCCGCAACAGCAGCAGCAACAACAAGATCAACAGACCGGACAATATCCGTCTGGAAGAAGGCAATCGGTTGTGGGGGTACCGGAAGATAGACATCCTCAGACGGGTCAGCTACCACCTCAGCAATATACCGTAGAAAAAACGAACGCTGATAGAGTCCAACACGTTTCTCAAACTAGCACGCAAACCGTCCCCGTACAAGCTCATCCTCAATTTGCCCCGGATTATGAGCAAAGTCAATATCCACAAATACGTGGTCAATTTGATGTTCGCTCGCAGATATATCCTCAGCAAGCTCAATACGCGGAGAGGGCTGGTTACGTGACCAGAGACATTACGTACAGAGATCCAGCATTGTATGGTCAGAGCACGGTTGCCAATCCGATATTCGCGAGTCAAAGTCAGTACGTTACTGTCCAGCACGGAACACAGATACCCTCTCAGTCGGCCAGTCCACAGCCACCCTATTTTGCTGGCGTGGTAGTACCTCAACCACCCGGATATACACAATTTAGTAGTCAACCCCAATATCCATATAGTCAGTACCCTCAAACTGTTATGAACGCGGTCCCGTACAATCCTCACGCAGGCATCTATCAAACTCAACAATTTGGCCAACAATCGCCCAATCCACAGAGATTCACTCAAGAATTGAGTCAATATCAAACTCAACCGATCATTCAACCAATCGCTCAAAATGTCGCTCACGGAATAGCGATCTCTACGACTGAACGGCCAAATCGCGGACCGAAACCTATGGTACCGCCACGTGGAAATTCTAAGATCACTCACGATACCGGCCACAGAAAATCAGCTAGCGTTGACGTACCAGCATTGCAAAAAGTTAAATACGAATCGCAAAATCCTCCCCAAGATCAGATTCATCGTAGCGAGGGTGCGATTATCGTTCAAGGATCGCAAATCGCTGCGGGTGAGACGCAAGAAAGGAGATATCTGACAACGATAAACCAAAATCCTAGAACAAGACAGGATGGTCTCTACGTTGACGCGAACGGAGACCAAACGGTTAGGGAAAAGGTCGCAGATAATATCAGTACGGAGTGTGGTTTATATGTTTCGAAATCTGAGCACAGAAAGTCCATATCCGTAGACGTTACTACGAGTTTCCAGAGACGCAACGATACCATCACTTTTACGTTCCCGGCAGATGGAAATCAAGATATGACCGTACAATCGAGAAAACCATCGACGGTTATTGAACCGAAAAGAGTCGAGGGAACGCAAGTATTTCCGACAGATCAGAGAAGATTGGACGCTAGCTTGCGCGTCTCACCTATGGCGTTCGATGCGAGACAGGAAAATCGAAAAAGCGTTGCCACGGATAGAAAAGTAGATTGGGGTAACGTAAGCCCAAATCAAAGAGTCGTCATACCGCAAGAAAGTAGACGATCGGATTATTTCGAAGAACATAGAAGATCACCGATGAATTTGGAAGGTAAGAGAGTGGAAGACGTGAGAAGATCACCCATGCCTTTTGTTCCGATTCGTGATAATTCCGCCGATCGAGCGAATCAAAAGAGTCCTTCGTTTGTTAATCAAAATTTCGAAAAGACCAGACAGGAACTTGCAATGTGGGCCGAACAAAGGCAACGTCAGGAATTAGAAAGGAGCATGATGCAAAATCAAATATTTTCTACTAGTCCGCGATCTCGTAATCAGTCCGAGGAGAGAAGAGAATCACGATCGTTGCATCCATCGGAAGAACGTAAAGAAACTAGAATGTCGCAATCGGCTTTTCAACCTTTGCCGAATATCAGTCAAAGTACTATAATGGAACAGCGTCGTCATTTGCGACATGTAAGCGCGGATCTAACGAAACACATGGAATTGTCTCGAAAAGATTTTGACGATCAACCGATCAGTGGTTCCGTAGCTAATCTTGGTCCAGGCACTGCAAGTACCGTCTCGTCGCAGAGAGCCAGTCCAAATCTTTGTCATCAATATCCAGCTTTAAGCGAAGCTAAATTAGACACCAAAACCGTATTGACAGTGGTCACTGATTTCGGAGATTCGAATTCTACCAAGCAAAGCGATCAAGTCGATCACATAATACACAGTCACAGAAAGAGTCATAATATATCGTCGAGTTTGTTAACTCACAGCAAAAGTCAAACGGAATGTTTGCAGAGTCAGCTCGATTCACAATGCGAAAAATCGGATACCCTACAAGCTCAACAACAACAATTACACAATCAGCAAAGTCTCGATTTAATCTCGGAAAAACTAAGCCAATTCGAGCGTCAACAAAGCGACCTCCAGGCCAAACTGCAATGCCTACAAAATCAAAATCAGATTTTGGATAAGGTCGCACAATTTCAGCATCAGCAGAGCGACTTGCAGGCACGATTGCAAAGTTTGCAAACGCAGAATCAAATTGGTAGCGATAAGATTCAACGACAGGCTACAGAAATTCAACAGCACGCCATTGGAAATGACGTACACCAAATACAAATGAGTCCACTATGTAATCATCAAGACCATTTGGACAAGACAACCTCTTTGTCACAGAACCAACATCAGGCAGTGCATAGTCACCATCACAGTTTATTGACCACCACATATCCGCAAAGCTCGAGCCTTCAAGCTTGCCCGTCGTCCGTTTGTGAGAAACTATCTCCGCGTATCCAACACGACGTCAATGATCCGAATTCCATTCAAATACCTAACATGTCGCAGATGCCACTTCCTTGTCTCCCCCAGTTCGATCGTGCAGACACGTCGCGCGGTTCGTTCTCGCAGTTTCATCGACTTCATTGTCAAATCGACAGTCACGATGGTGCATCTGCGACATCGGCCAGCGGAGTTGTTGGCAGTACAGTTGGAGTTAGTGGAAATGTCGGTGGTGTTGGTGGTGGTGGTGGTGGTGGTGGAGGTGGTGTTGGTGCCACTACGACGAGCACCTTCACTGGGACTCTCAAGAAAGTTCCTCCGGAGAAGCCACCCAGACAGTCCTTGACCGTGCAGTCTCCGGAAGCAGAGGTAATAAAAAAAAAAAAAAGAAATTAAAAAATACAAACATAAAAGGCATGCGTCCGTCGGTTAGTTACAGATTAACTCCACTCCAATTTGATAGCAAATTTATTCTTTACTTCTTTTTATTAATCAAACTTTGTTGCATAGAATCCTTTCAAAAAAGGAAGTCAAATTTTTGTTTCATTAGTTTATGCTATCGATCGAATTTTACTGGAAATAATAAAAAAAAAAAAAAAAAACAAAAAATACGAGCATCTACGTCGAGAATGTTGAACGCATACCTTAAGAAATATTTTGTTGTCCTTATCTTTGCTCTTTTTTTCTTTTCTTTTCTCTCCATACCATTCCAGATAATTTCAACATAAAAGTAAAGTTAAAAAAAAAAAGAAAAAAAATACCAAAGAGAATGTCGCGTCGTTCGTTGCGTGCTGTTAGACGGGGAGATCTTCGCTCAACATTTTTGCTGGCAGCAGTCGAGTGGAATGAACTCGTTAGATATCAGACTCGATGTTGTCTTTGAAAACTTCGTTACGAGCCCTGTGTATCTTTCACTTTACTTTCAAACCAGACCGACTCTCTTCGCATCTCGAGTCTGTCGCGCCTATAAAACGAGATGAGCAGGGTAGGAGGGATGGGAGGTAGGTGGTCCGACTGCTCACTCGCTTGCTTGCTTGCTTGCTCGCTCGTTCTACGTGTTTCGAATCGAGAATGGCAGATTTTGTGACGATACGATCGAATATATATAGGGGATACTTATTTTACTTTACTTTTCCTCAATTTTCTTTAATTCGATCGATAGGAGGATTAATATACCGTAAAAGTTATCCTTCTCTCCTCCGTTATAGGACCACATCTTTGAAAATAATTCCATTAATTAAAGATAACCCCCTTGTTACTCGAACGAGCCAACGAAAAACTAATTTTTCGTTTGAACAAAAATATCCGACGAAAGAAAGAAAGAAAGGAAAAAAGAAACATAAAAATAAAAAAGCAAACATATTCCCCGATACGGAATGTTGTACGAATATCATATAAATTTCTTTGCAAATATTCCTCCGTACGGTGCTCTCTGTAATTCGATATTACTGAAAGAACGTTGAATATGGTAAAAAGCTCGTCGTTCGAAAAGTTTGATATTCGCGTTACATCAAAATTGATTTATTTCTGGGCAACAGATCTCGCTCGTTCACCTTCTCATACATAGATGTTACTAACGTCAGCTTTTAAAGCATCGCTATCCTTATAAAGTATCCATAACTCGAAGGAATGCAAATAACGTGTGGGAACTTTCCACGAGCACTCTCTCTCTCTCTCTCTCTCTCTCTCTCTCTCTCTCTCTCTCTCTCTCTCTCTCTCTCTCTCTCTCTCTCTCTTTGCTCGTACCTACGTCCCTGAGTCTTCGCTTTTGTTGTTTCTAGCAAAATTGGGTTAGCACAGCGACTCTTTCTCTCTATCTCTTTCTCTCTCTCTCTCTTTCCTTCTCTTCCTCTTTCTCGTATATGAAAAGCTCCGACGTTTACCTTGCCGATAAAGCAAATACCCTCTCCCCCTCCCTTCATTTCGTACCTTTCTACCATGCCGGACAATAGAAGAGTAAAGAGAATTCACATTTCCTACCGTGGTGCTATCTTACGTAACTAATGTAGGACCGTTTCTAAGCTAAATCATGGGCCCCGAGCTTCGCTTCCATTCATTCGAAGAACAATGAACGTAAATGCTTATTTGCCGTTCTCATTTACTCGCGTCGTAAGTGGAAACGAATACAAACGGTCGTCTTGCTGAAGATACGAATTATTTTCATTTCGACGGGATTATAAGGTATACCCTTTTTCGATCAATCTATCAATATTATTTCGACGAATTAAATTTATTTCATCTTGATTACATATATATATATGCATAATGTTATTTCTTTTTCTTTTTTAAATTTTTCTATATCCATATCCTGTTATATCTTTCATTTCCTTTTTTTTTTTTTTTTTTAATTACTTCAGCTTCTAGCATTTCTCATTAAATCCTTCAAGTATCTCCAATATTTCAGACCTGAGAACGTATTTAAAACAAATGTTCCACATGAACATATTCATTTCTCGATCGACCTGAGAGATGATGAGTAACGCGCGCGAGCCACCCTTTTCAAAACACGTTTCTCCCATTTAGAGGAGTTCGTTACGATTTTCCTCTCTTTTCCCCATCTCATTCTCTCTCTCTCGTTTTCTCTGTTGATACTCGTTGCTATTATTATCCTCGTTACCAAACTTTGAACTTTCGAAATGAATTCCCCCTTGCATCAACCATTTCGATGATACTTACTTTTTAATCAATGCGCGTTTTGGGAATATGATATACACGTTTGCTTAAATTAAATATATTGATGATTTGTGCATAAATATGTGCTGGAATTATAACATGATATAAAAAGAAAAAAAAAAGAAATTAAAATAAAGTAAGAACTAAACAAGTTTATTGATAATAAGCATGCACTTATGCGTTTTCTAACCGGACGTAGGAGCATTAATATTCGAACCACAAACCAGATTGGGATGTATTTACAACGAAATCATTTTCTTGCAGTGGACGCCACCGAGCTTACGAAGCTTAGCTTTCACGAGGCGAGCTTTAGGGCAAAACAGAAATTCTCTTACTCTCGTTACGCATTACGAACTCGAGTTAGAAGCTAATTCGTGTTCTTGCGAAGGACCGAATTACCGTGGAAACCTGCCTGAAAAGTTTTTATTACTTCTTTTTTTCCGCGGAACAAAGAATTTCGTACGACTTTGTAATCCCTCGTAAATTTGATTTTTCTCTCTTTCTATAGGACTGTACCTCTCTCTCTTTCTTTCTCTCTATATACCTGCTTATTTTTCTTTTTCCTTTCTTATCTTTTCTATTTTATTTTATTCATACTTTGTCGCAAGAAACAGGATAGTTTTGATCATTTTTATTCTTATTTTATATATAACATTATACTTTATAAATTATACAACACACAACGTTTTATAGCTTTCTTCAACTTCCGCAATTTTCTAGTTACTCTCCTATTCTAGTCTTTATAAACGTTAGCCGACAAAATTGAAACTAACGGCAGAGAATAGTATTACGTTTCAACGGCATAACCTTCCCTAAAGTATATTGTTCGGTAAATTGAACCTGCTACGCCTATGATTCTAGATCACGTCGTAAGAAATAATAGTAAACATTTATTCTCTGTTATCATGTTTCGAAAATTCAGTTTTAAAAGTGCATTGCATATACCCTTGGATAATAGAGTTTCATTATTCGTTCTTGCGTTCGTACGTTGTTTGGTTGTTTGGTTGGTTGGTTGGTTGGTTGGTTGGTTGGTTCGTATCTTTCAATTTTTCGTTCGAGAAAAAAGATATTTCATTTGATTTCAATGGCATTCAAAACGAGTGTTCGCCACGAACATAGATTAGACTTTAAAGTTTATATTTTTTTGTTGGAAAAAATAAACTTTTCCCGTGAATACACGACCAAGCTCGGAGATAACGAAAAATAAAATAGACAGTTTAAACCAGTGGGGAAAGGTGAAAGAAAAAAAATTACACGTAATAAAGAAAAGTAAATTATTGTTCTGTCAATTGTTCCGGTTCGTTATTTCCAATAGCGTAATTTAAACTATAGTCTCTCTTTAAAACAATTATTATTACATAATTAACCGTTATAATTTATATATATATAATTAAAATAATTAACAAATATAATATTTAACTATAATAATGAAATATAACAGAATAAACATATATAGTAATAAAAATAATACACGCGTGAATAATTTGTCTTCAATTGGATCAAAACGTATAAATATCGTTTCGATGAAGTACAAGTTAAAGTATACCTCGATAGATTGCTGTGTATACGTTAAATGAATAAAAAAAAGAAAAGAAAAATAGTTTAAAAACAGATTTCCATAACCATTTACATAGACGAACGAGAAATAAAGTTAAACGTAGAGAGATAGAAAAACATGAAATTGTGTTGGGAATTCGCTGACGTAAAGTTAATAAAATAAAAAGAAAAAAAAATGTATAAAACAACGCGATGTAATGTTCGTAACTGATCGTTGTTATTAGCAACGCCGAGAAATATGAAATAAAGTAATGAATCAAAAGAATCGCGAGTCACATTTTTACACTTTTGTAAACGTCGAGAGAACGTAGGTATATATATCTCTGATAATTTTTCATACAAAACATTTTCACTTAAAGAACAGGATATCACAATAAAAATCCGAGCATGCAATTTCCGTTATTGGATGTGCAGTATTATTTTTTCGAACATTTCAACATATCGAATGGTTAAATAATAGAAACGTTATTTCTGTTCTGTTTAATTCCCGAGGGTACGCTGCACTTTGAATCGAAAAAAAAAAGAATTATATATATAACACTTTGATAATATAAATATATTTTATTATTTAATATATACATTGTAATTTTCCAGAATCTCGATAATAATTAAACGTTGATATACTGTGACACATTGATATTCGCTTAGCGATCAAATATCAACCGTAACGATCGAACCTAATCGACAAAATTATTTTTAATGAAACACATTTAATACATTCGATGAGAAAAGAACAAGAAAGGAGGAATGATTCGATAAATGAAATTGCTTGTCGGAAATGGATAAAAATTATCATTTTAATTTACCACAGAGTACTCATCCCGATGCTCAACGTTAAATAAGGTTTTCTTTTGAAATAAGGGCAACGACTCTTCTATTATCTGGCAGAAGTCGGATACTAGATAGTTTGCATTAGTTGAAACATTTATGAAAAGAGAAGGTTTGCCCTGGAGAATTATGAAAAAGGGAAAGACGAGGATGAAAGAATATGGAAGACGTTAAAAACTGGTATTCCTTTACTCCAGAGACTCCGAACGTGTAAATAATCCGATGATTTTTGAAATTTCAACGATCGAGAAGTTCAGTGGGGTACATAGGTCAAGAAATAAACTTTTAAGTTAAACTTTCAAATCAATTTT